ATCAAGAGGAAAAAGAGCATCCCATGAGATTACATTAAAAATGTAGTGTCACAAGTTTGATTTCATTAATGTTTGATTAAAAAATAAATCATTAAACTCTTGTCATGCATTATCTTAATATTTTTCCTTTTTAATTTATTTTATGTTGTAGCAATATTTTCACAGCACTAATTTTGTGATAACTCAAAACTATTTGACTTATTTTATTCATACAAAGTTGAATTCAAAATTTTAATTTTAATACAATCTCTATTATGATTTGGGGTGTGTATAAATTGAATCGATCAATAAATTAAATTAAAAAATGCTATTAATTTATTGTTATTGGGTCATTTAGTGAGCAGATGTCTTAGTGGTTTTATAAATAAAAAAAATATCGAGTTATCGGTTTGATTTTGGTTTTATATATTAAGTTATTGAGTAAACCGATAATCTATTACTATTGTTTACTTTTTTTTACCCCTACATAAATATTAAATATTAATATTTATACTTTACTGGTTATTAGTTTTGTCATTTAACCTTCAAATCACATTATTGTCCTAGTTATTTTATTGTTGCACTTGTATAGCACTTTTTATGTTAGTTACTACTGTTTTTGTTTTATGAGTAAAAATGTAAAGTTACATTATTGTTCTGTCATATCAAATTATTGGACAAGTTATATATTTATTTTATGCGAATTTTTTTATTAGTTAAATCGAAAATTGAACCGTTAAAGATAAAAAAAAAAATTAAAAATCAAAAAAAAATATCTTCTTCTTTTTATTAGTTTAATGTATTTAAAAATAAAAAATTGATAAATCAAATTGAACTGATTGATGCATTTTCTAACTGTCAATTAATTATCCACAAGTACACTGATTCAAAAAGCACGCGCAAGCTACTATAATTGTCAATATGTCAATCAAAATATGTACCTTGTTACCCTACATTATAATATATGTAAACCTATAATTTAATGTATAGAAATAAATTCCATATAGAAAAAGTGAATCAAAAATTTGAGGGTCCAATGTTATCTCAAAAGGGCACAAAATTTATCTATATTCTGCACTAATCAATGATATAAAAAAGTACTCTGCAATGGCACATGCCAATATTTAATTATACATAAGTCTATGTTCATATATTAAATGTTTATAAGAAAAAAAAAATTATTGAAATAGTTCTGTTTTAATACTTGTCTTTGTATGGACATTATCATTTGCTATCTACTCTGAAAAATTGTTTGCTATCCACCAACATAAAGGAAATAAAGAGAAAATGACAGTTTCTTTTGCTTCGTCGAAGCTCCTACCTATCTATTAAAAGTTCCCTCCTAAGACGGAGGCGAAATCGGTTTCCCCTAAACTATAAAAAATGTGCTTTTTTTATTTATTTTTTAAAAGAAAATTATTTAACTATGTGTAATTCAAGTCGAGGATAAAGATTGCGAAATGACTATAGCGATACAACAAATCAATGTTCTCAAGTCTCAACTCTCAACCCCTCATTGATTTGATTCTTTTTACCTATACATAAATTTGAATTGGAAATAAAACCTAGTAATTCAAACTATAACGCTCAATTACTTCTTTGGCATTTTTCATTTTTTAAAATATATGTTTGGTAGTAAAAATTTGAAAAATATATATTTTTAAAGAATAATTTTAAAAAAAACTTTCTTAATGGAACTAAGATAAACAAGCTACACAAATGACACTCCACATTAATTGTCTTCTCCCTAAACTCCAACACATAACACCTCCACCTTCATAGCCCACACCAACACCATTTGATAGCTAGTTTGAAGGTGAGTTATGCAAGTATAAAATTTCGCTTCATGTTTGGTAGCTGGTTAGAAAGTAAATTATTTATATATAAAATTAACATGGTATTTAATTTGCAATTTTCAAACCCGAATAACTAACAAATGTATAAATTAAGAGGAATAATACATAAATAATTAAATTCTGCATAGAATAACACATAAATTCCGCAGTACATAAATAACTACTTTTGTAAAGCCTTTTAAGAAAAAATAATAATCAAACTTTGGGCTTTATTATAAACATCTACTATCGTAAAGCCCATATGGCTTAGGCCTTAGCTAATTAACAGCAGGTTTGGAGTGACTTAGGCTTCCGACTTATTTCTAACTTGTCACTTTTGATATATTTTTTGTTATGTTGACTTAAAAACAAATGTTTATAAACACTTTTTAATTTAACTCAAACACTTCAAAACTATTTAAAAGTTATTTTGATTTAAAAACACCTAAAACAAATCAATCTAAATGGACTTCTTAGACAAAAAAATGATTGATTGAGAGATCTGATTTATCAGCCTAACTCCAAATTAGCGAAGTTCAGATCTTCTCAGACAAAAATATGATTGATTTAGAAAGATCTAATTGTATAAGCCTTTAACTCCAGTAGCTAAGTTCTGTTCTTCCTGAACGAAAAGATGGTTATAATAATGAGATTTGACTATATAAGTCTTAACTCTAGAATAGCTAAGTTCGGCTCTTCTCAGGCAAAAAAATGATTATAATAATGAGATTTGACTATATAAGCCTCAATTCCAAAATAGCTAAGTTCGGCTCTTCCCATACAAAAAAATGGTTATAATAATGAGATTTGATTATAGCCTCAACTTTAGAATATCTAAGTTTGGCTCTTCCCAGAAAAAAAAAATTGTTATAGAGAAATTTGACTGTATAACCCTTAATTCCCTATTAGCTAAGTTCGGATCTTCTCAGACAAAACATAATACTTTATAGCATCCAAAAAGTGCAAATATAGTTTGCAAGAAGAAAAAACAGGGCAGATTTTTAAAATGCTCAGTCTATTCTGGATTTTTATATATTCATCCATATTTTTGATTTATTTTTTATCCTTGTGCTTAGTGTAGTAATTGTTTTTCCCTTACAACACATTAGTTTCCAGGGCAGTTATGTCACTAATTAACACTTTTGGGAATACACCCTAATTCTCCAAAGATTTCTACATAACCATGGTTTTAAAATAGGAAATAGATTTCACCAGATATTCTTTATATTATAGTCATCCTTCTGGCGTCGAGCTATCTTTCTTCAGGACATCCCCTACACTATTGTCATCTAGTAGAGTTTAACCACCATGTTCATAATGAATTGGTATGGTTCCTCTATGTCTAGGACTTCAAAGTATTGAACTGAAATGAAATCATGGCTTAGCATGTTTTCTGAATGTATTCCCCATATAAGATAAATACTTTGGATCAATGAGGAGTTGAATTACTATTTTGTACTTGATAAAAAAAAAAGAATTGAAGAAATCATGAAACCAAACCATGTTCTATAAACAAATTTAGACAAACTCAAAGGCGGACCTATGTGGGAGTTTTGGGGGTTCAGACACATGAAAAGTAGAATTACATATGCCCCAATACGGAGGTGCGAGAAGTTAAAAGTGAGAGGTAAAGGTAAAAGTAGGCCAAAGAAGAATTGAGAAGAGATGATTAGGCAGTACATGCTCCCCTTATAGTCCTAGTCACCTTATATGCCCCCCCTTTCTTACCATATTATCTTTATCATTCTATCGTTATCTTATTCTTCAATTTTTTTTACTATTACTATTGCTTCTTTTACTTTGTGTATCTTTACTATTTTTGTTGTCATTAATTTTTCCTTTGTTATTTTCATTACATATTTTTACTCTTATATTTCTCAAACCTTTTTTGAACATCACTTTTCTTGAGCTAAAGGTCTTTCAAAAACATTTTACACACTCAAATTCACTTGTGGAATCACACTAGTTATGTTGTTAATTTTGATTTTTTTTATAATGGTCATATGTATTCTTTTTTAGGTGCGATAGTAAAAGATTTATATATTAAAACTACATAATATCATTATTTTTTAATAAATGTAGTGTCTGAGCCACTTTATTAAAACTTGACTATTTACACACGATCACGTAATTCTGTTCATTAAGGCTATGACAAATGAAAAGAAATTATCTAGGTGTTGTTTCTCATTGTTGGGATCTTAAGGTGATACTTCATGATTCTCAATCCAGTTCATTGATGATTGAATTTTTTTCTTTCATTATACCCTAATTTTTGCTTAGTTTGCATGTATATGGATACCAAGAAATTGTGATTCTTTCAACACAACTTCTTTCCAAGTAGTTTTAAATTTATCGTGTTCCCTTTTAACATCTTCACTTATTATAGACAATTACATGATTGAACTTTAGGAAAAAAAGTTCAAATGCTTCATAAGGTAAACTATGATGCTCTGAACAGTTACCAAAAAGCAGGAGATATCTACTACAATACAACATTTTCTTCGAAAGTAGAGTAAATATTTAAAATTTATATATCTGAGATTCAATTTTCTTAAAGTTTTAAATTTTAAATTAATAATTATACATATTTAATAAATTTATCACTACAAATTCAAAATTCAAATCAACTTTATCAAATTCGATTAAATCCATAACCAAAACACTTTGGCCAAAAGCATATGCCTTATCCATAATAATTATATTGTTATTAAATATATATACCTAATATAAATGGATTGCTACTTGAATTTTGATTGCTATTTTCCCAATTTATTTTTTTATTTTTCTATTTCGCTCATTATTTTCATTACCTTTATTTAATTTTATATTAAAAAATAAGTTTATTTATAAAACAAAAACCCCACCAAATAAAATTTTACTAAATATATTATTGTTATTATATTTACAAAACAATACTTTCTTTATTCCAATTTTAGTCTGTCCTTAAAAATTACATTTTTATATTAAAAAGTATCATAGATAATAAGTAATAGCTCCTGATATGAAAACACACTAAACTTGGTGATTATCATAACTTGTTTTTCTTTTCCCTTCTAAAAAAACGTCTTAAATAACCACCTTTAAAACTAGGTAAAAGTACTATATTTTTAGATCATAATTTATTTAAAAAAATCTTATAATTTATGTGAAATTAAAATTAAAGGGGGGTCATTTAAATAAAAATTGGGACATTAGTAGTATTATGTTTTGTAACAAAAAGGGAAAAAAGGTGTTACCCTAAAGTGACAATTCATTGCCGGATTGACAGTCACAGTTCATTCACTCGCCGGAGAGCAGTTGAAAATGGTGGTGAGATTAAGGTTATCGAGGTTTGGATGCAAAAACAAACCTTTTTACAGAGTAATGGCGGCCGATAGCAGATCTCCAAGAGACGGCAAACACTTGGAAGTACTTGGTTACTACAATCCTTTACCAGGTAACAAACACAATTTTCCCCTATTTTTATTGACTGATTATGCTCTTTATCATTAAAAATTGATTTTATTACACATTTCACCTTACTTTGGATTAACCCCATGTGAAAAAATTTCATCTTTTAGCTTTATTTGTACTGTTGTTGAGAGAAACCTCAGTTCTTGAATTCAAATATTTGTTGTTTTGTTGAGGTGCTGATGTATAAGTTTGTACAATTTTCACTTTGTACAGGGCAAGATGGTGGTAAACGGATGGGTCTTAATTTTGATAGGTTGAAGTAAGTAAAGTTCCAAACTTGTTGTTTTTGTTGTGATTGATTCCCAATTTCATGTGTTCCATTTGTAATTTGGAGACTCTTGAATTGCATTTTTCTCTCTTGTTAAAGTTCAGATGACTGACAACAAGTTAAAGGGTGAATACTATTAGAGTTCAGGTCATGTATTGTGCTTTTGTTGTTGTTGTCTGGCAAAGAATATTGTAACACTACTCAAAGGTAATAATTCAATTACTTCTGCAGGCTGTAGAAGCTCAACATTGGTATAGCTTTTCTATTTAGGCAAAGCTTATTTGATCCGGAAAATCATTGAAATTCTTGTATGGCTATGAATTGGTTCGGTTAAGACTGGTTTATAGCTGTAGGATCAAGAATAACATTGTAGTTGCGTAAAACAGATTTTGCTAATTGGTCATTTTAAATTTTCTGTCCATCTTGTTTGTAGTCTTCAAAAAGAATGTAGTTGACTTAGGGATTGACTGAATACGCTGGCCAAACCAGATTGTTGTCAGATGCATATCAGAAATGCAATGCCTTAATCAGTGACAAAAAATAAACAAAATTTTCTCATGAGTTGCCTCAAAGAATGAGTGAGTGGAACAGGGAGCTGACTTAATGCAGTACTTTGAAGTGTTTAGGGAGTTTCTAGGGTGACTATTGTGTGTGTGTCTATATATATATATATATATAAATATATAAAGTGTTTTGGGTAATTTCTAGGGTGACTATTGCCAGATATGTTCAAGGGATCAAATAAGCTATTTGAATTGAGTTATCGAGGAAGTTGTATGGAATAGGTGCAACTGGAGCTAAGGAGGTTATGGACCAATGTTAATTATGTTGGCGAAAAGGCAAAGATAACAATGCAATTGAGATTCCTTGAACATATTTAGTTTCAGAGACCAGTAGCATTATACCACAGTAATCCCCCTCCTTTTTTTTGTGTGTGGGTGGGCGGGGGTTGTTATTTTGGGGGTTATGTATTCCTTTATGAGTTCTTGTGCTATAAATTTCTTATGAGTTATTTTTGTGTACATTTTGTTGAGAGCATGACAAGTTGAATGCTGGCTCACTTGATTGAGATGTATCTTTGGAAAAACAAAATTCATCTGGTTGAACTGGTGAACAATATGCTAACTCATCCTGGGAAGTCGTTAACAGTTTGCTGTTTTAGACTTTCTTGAATTTTTTGCTTCTAAAGAAGAGGATTTGTCATCTTTAAGTTGTAGGAAATAGGAATGATGTTCTCCTTTCACAATGATGAGAATAATAAATGGTTCTCTGCTGCACTGTTAACTTCGAGTGGCAATGATTGTTTAGAACTTGCTTGGCTGCAGATGGGGCGAAACATTAGTGAGTGTTGTGTTTGGTATAATCAAAGATCTTGTCATCTTTATTCTCTCGTTTCTTCTGTTAATTGTGTACATGGACCATAAACATGATAAAATGGTTCATATTTAATATGTATTTGTGGACTTGGTTTAGCGAATTAGGAGTGTGTGGTTGTGATTTTGAAAGGTTAAAAATTATCATGTAACACTTAAAAGACAAATTAAGAAATGACATTTGTTAGTTAGGATCTCTTTTTAACTCCTTTACTTTGCTCCAGGGACTCATTTTGGCTGGGTTAGGCAGAGAGTTAAATTGTAGTTGATTTATGTCGGACTTTTTTATTCCAATTTGTAGAAAACACTAGCACTGTGTTGTTGCATAAACTTTCTTGTTTTTGCTACTGTTTCTCATGAGTCTTTCAAAGGATTAAGTTGATTACTGTTTTAGGACAGGCTTTAACATAAAGCAATTTCATGTAAAAAGCTCAATATATTTCCTAATAAAGGTGCAGTCTCGCAGCTATTTGCAAAGTGGACCTCTTGAAGGAACTGAAACTCCTTTCTAGTGTATATCAGATGACTTATGACCTATTAGTCAGTCAGGAAAAGGAAGGTGCCTAGTACTGTAGGGATGAACACTCACATTCTTGATCACTGGTGCGCATTGATTTAGACAAGGCAGGAGCATAACTAATAGTATGATAAATCCTGATGCTGATATAACCTGTTTCCTGTTTATGATATTGTGGCAACTCAAGTTTTAGTCTTGCAAAGGTCCAAAAGGAAAATAGTGCCCAAATGGTTGAACTGTGACTTTGCTGTAGTTGTTGCAATAACTAAAGCTTGTAGGTTCTTATACTCTTAGTCATCGGATAGTTGTCAGGATCACACAATCATGCGTTCTTTACCTGATATTCGTGGTTCTGCAGGTATTGGTTATCTGTTGGTGCACAGCCTTCAGAACCAGTCCAACGCCTTCTTTTCCGAGCAGGCGTATTACCTCCTCCACCTATGCTGGCTATGGGACAAAAAGGCGGTCCACGGGACACTCGATTAGTTGATCCTATGACTGGACGCATCACGACACCTGAAAGTGCTAAAAGTGCCAATCCAACAGTTGGTTCTGAAGTTGAAGAAGACAAAGATTAGAATCTGACTAGTTGATTTTGTACAACTTCAATTCAAAGATCTGTTTTTTAGTATGTGACAATTGCAGCGCTGATGTTTGTTTCTATGTACTGCTGTTTGAATCTTGCAATCTTAGAATGCGTCATCTTCAAATATGCCCTGATCATGTCTCAATTTTGTCTGGTCTTGCTAAAGGGATATATTTTAACTATCTATGTTTAAATAAAATAGCACCCCTTAGATATGTGACTTTTGATCTCTGTGCTTTATGCATTTCCTTACTTTTCCGCTTTGTCCAGTAATGAAGAGCATTCATAGTAATAAACTTCAGCTAGTTTGGTATCTAGAGGTAGTCTATGGATGTATTCGTAGAAATCTCTACTATTATAGAAATGTGAGAAAAGATGCTCTCAAATGTATGCTTGTTGTCAATAGCTAATTTCTGCAGGCCATTTCAGTAAATTCGTCTGAGTTGCTGCTCATATACTTGAATTTTATTCCTATAGGCAGCAGCTCATATATGTTGCCTCTCTCTTTCACCTCTCTCTTTCAGTAATAAACCTCATTGTGTATACCTTGATCCTACTTTCAGTCAATCTTCTATATTCTACAGTCTATGCACTCTGCTGCTTTTCTTCTTCTCAGGTTGCTTTTTCGCCTTTCTGGTAAGCAATTTCTTCAAATTATTGGAGTCTAAGTTGTTTTGGCAGTTAATATTGTGGCTTATGGAAATTGGTACTTTTGATGCATAAATTTTGTCAGATTTCTTTCTTTAGGTTTTGAAATTGTGGAATTCAATTTGCTGTCTCAATACGAAGATCAGAATGGTGCAGTCCTTTAAGCTGCATGTTGAATTTTCAGTTGATTGATGGTGGAAATTGATAGCTATTCCTTGAAATTCATCTGATCCATAATTTTTGATTTGGGATGACAAGATAAACATCGTAGTTTTACCAAAATTAATGAACTGTTTGAAATTCTTTCATTTTTATTTTTGGAAAGTACTGAGCAAAATTCTCTCTTCACTTTTGCTTCAGGAGATTTTATATAATATATCTCTTGGACAATATTTAGAAAGTTCATTTGTTTTCTTCCAAAGAGCACACACAGTCAATGAATTTCTTTCTTTTCTTCTTAATTTACAGCCTTCCTCCAGCTTCTTTAGCTGTGGGTGCAAATTAATGATGCTATGTTCTGTTTAGTTTTCTCTGTTTCAGGTTTCACTCTATATTGTGATTATTGTTTGTTTAGCATATGATGTGTATTCAGCATTTCGGACTCTGGTGAGTATCTCTTTTCTATTTATTTTCAATATTTATTCCTCTGCGCATATGTGCAACATTTCACGTTTCAATTTTGGTTCTTTTTGTTACTTTTATTGAACATCTATAATGTTGGCACCTTGATGCAAACAGAAAGTCTGTTAGGGAAGCAAATGTTGGAAGCTTCATTTTCACTGTCAACTATGCCCAATCAAATTATCTTTTATACCTTCATAGCTATTGCTAGTTGCTACAACTATTCTTTCTCCTATTCTCATTTATACACTTTCCTATTTTAACAAAATAGAACATGATTGACTGAGACTGACCAGTAATCTCCACATATACCAACATTTTGTCAATACATTGCAACGACAGTGCTTACCAACAAAATGATGGCTATATATAAAAAATATAGTGCTATTACTACGGATGCAAAGAATAATGTGTCATCTGATAACCCATATAACAACATCCTTGAATATTTATTTTGTTTCTAGGTGCATGCAAATAATTATAACGGTTATGCATTGTTGTCTGCTTGCACGGGCTGTGCCCATCTAGTTGGTACAATCATTGGTTTCACTAGACGCTCATGTGGTTTTGGAATTTAGAATAGGCCACCTGGAAAAGATGAAAAGAGCAAGCTTTTCCTTAAAAAAAGTAATGGCTATGAGTAGTTAAACTCGTCTTGTACTTCTGTTATTGCAATTTGTGACAGTCACATCTGTGTAGTTTTGAGTTGCTCGCTACTTATAGGTATGTGATGGCCGAAGGCTGGTTCTTTTTCTTTCTTTTCTTTATGTGAGGTTCATGTCTGTGATATTACCGATATAAAGATGTATTCTTTTCTTTGTATCTATAAATTTGGTTTATCTGATTTTTATTGGTCACCACTAAATCAAAATTGCTTTACCATTTAAAGAGTTTGCAATGGTGGTGCCATTGAGTTGATTTTCTGTTTTCTTTTATCTCTCACAAAGATATGTGGTGTTGATCGGGGAAGAATGAATATGGTGAAGCTCCGTTTAGATGGCTCCTAGTGTCTAAGAAAGAATTGATCATAATTCATACAGCCTTTGGTGTTCTTAGTATAAGAACAATTGATGTTAATGATTTTACCATCAATTGTTGTAGAACCGATACATTGAATTAGTTGTGCAAATGGCATTCACAGCACTCATCACTCAGCATCCAAATGTAGAATTCTTTTGCAGTTAGTATTGCTAATTCAACTGGCTTTGCATATTGAAAGGTATTAATCAGATTACTGAAAGGCATAAGAGCTGAGCCAATCTGTTTTATTTCTTTTTTTTAATTTTGCGAAATTTTCCTAGTTAGACTCTGTTGTTACCTTGGAATTTTTATTCTAGTTGCATAAATTGTAGTGCAGAACCAAATTATTTGTTGTCATGTTATGGTAATAGGGGTCACTAGGAGCAGATTCCACCATTTCACTCTTTTTCCTAAGACCAAACACATGGTTTGATAATCTATTCGTGGCTTCTATATCCCCATGGTTGTATGGTTTGTGAATTTTTACCATACAACCATTCGTGGCTTATTTTCAAATTCTTAACTTAAGGCTGTTTGACAGACCGTACAGTCGATGATTGTAGCACAAGACTATGCCTAGATAAAGGGCAGTCCGGTCTGGTACACTAAACTCCTGCTATGCGTGGGGTCGTGACATCTGGCTGCGTTTCTTTTTCTTCTAGTTGCTGGTGAGAATTTGAGTAAACACATTAACAAAAACTAGTACTTGGGCAATTTGTTTCTTTTGCCTAATATCACAAGCTGCCAGAATTTGATGATCAGAAGCTGGTCCAGTTTTGTGTCTACGTACTTTAGCAGCTGAAGTACTGCCTAGTGTCTCATTTTTATTTACAAATAAAAAGTTAGAGAAGCTTAAATGATACAAGTTCAATTTCTGGTGTTTTGAGTTTCGAATATGAAAAGTAAATTCATATCAAGTGATATTATTAAAAACACGTAGAAATTCTATTATTGCAAGCTCAACGAGTAGCAAACTTCATAAAACCTATCTTCTCACATTCGAACATATATATATCTGAAACTTTCAAATGCACATGCTTGAAGTTTCACCTTAACAAGTCAAACTTCAGATATGATTGTCAAAAGGTTGACCTTGACGAGTCAAACTTCAAAGAAAAAAAAAATAATCAAAAGTTTGCTTGCACATCAATATGCCAAATTTAGTTACAATCTTTTTACAACTTCAGTCTTCATGCCTTGTCGTATGGAATGACTAAACTTTAAAAAATTTATAAAATTAAGCTATGACATAAATGGTCTCAAATATCAATATGTTTACACTTCCCCCTTTACTTAACCGTAAAGCCCTTCCTATTAAAGCAATCGATAATCAAGTATTTAAAGTCAAACTAATTTTATAAATAATCAATAATGTAAAACTGTACCAATATTGGATGAAAACCAACAAATTGTACCAGAAGTTGAAGGTATACGGGCACTTGGTACTTCTACACTTGCTGCTTTAGAGGTCTGTGAGGCTTTGGTGCTGAAATCATAGAAACAAGAATTACTCAAACTTTTCCACGAGACAAAACAAGTTAGATGTTGGAGAAGAAAGTATCTTTAGAAAGAAACATGCAACACGTAAGAGATGGATGAGCAATCATGTTCTGAACTTGATGAGAACAGCCTCAAAGTCTTTAGCATGATTTCTGAATGCATATTCCCCATATAAGACAAATTTTCTGAGCCAATTATGAGTCTAATTACTCTTCTGTACTTGATTTAAAAAATGAAAAAAAAAAAAAACGAAATCAAAGTATGTTCTGACATCATATTTAGACATACTGATGTGTGAAATGACTAATGAGAATCTTCTCTGCTCTTCAAACCCCCTCCCAATTTTATTTTATTTTAAAAAAAGATTTTACCCTGTCAAAGCTTGATTGAGACCTTTACTTTGTAAGCTGAAAGAGATTAATTGCAGTCCGCCAGTTACGTTCCTCTTTCAGAAAATGGTGCAAAACCTCATATTTATATATTGTTAGTAGACCACTAACAGTCACGTCGGGGCACTGTTTCTCCAGACAATACTATGTAATATGTGATAGTTATGCTGAATGAATGAGATATGAAGCAATATTGAATAAAAAACTACGACACATGAATTGAGCCCTGACTTCATTCCAGGGTAATTTCTATCAGGATTTCTAAATATATTGATTCATTTGCGAAAACATCAAATTCAGTGACACGATGACTGATGAAAGCAGATAATTTCCAGGTTGAAACTACTAGAGTCTGTCAGTCATCTTCCACTATCTGTATAGTATCTAGTGTCAAACAGCATTTACTTGCACTATGATGTTATGGAGATAGAGATATACCATTTGGATTTCCTTGCTCATAGAAGCTCCGAAGAAGAGAAACTGCTTCAGAAGCCATTATTCCCCCAGTGCATTTGAAACCCTTTTTTGATGAGGCTAATTCACTGTTATGTTTTGAACTTCCATAAATTACCCATTTGTCACTCGATGCTTTTTCTTGAAAAGCTGAATTATAGGAATAACATTCAGTATATTAAATCAGTTTGGGATCAAACCTAGTTGGAAGATTAGAGCTGCTGGTATGCAGTGATAGTACAGATCCACAGCCTCCAAATTTATCATTTGCACATCCATAATATGCCTCCTTTATTCCTTGCAGAGGAAACATGTTATGTTAGAGAAATGTGCTAGTGATATATAAAGCAAGACCAGCAGATACTGAAATGCTTCAACATACCAAGATATGACAAGGCTGCTGCGCACATTATACATGGCTCACAGGTGACAAACAGAATGCACTTTGAGAATCTTTCAGAAACTTCAAGAGGTGAAAGTCCATTTTTCTGCCACTGTTGAACTAGAAAATCAATTGCTTCCATCTCTGCATGTCTTGTAGCCTGGATTTATAGGAATGCTTAGTCAGGTTTACATGATTAGGAGA